CAGGCCACCCATCAACTGAACTGTCCCCCCAGTCAGAGCAACTCATAGGAGTATCATCGAAAGGCGCCCGAGGCCACTCTGATCCCTCTCGAGAGTCGCCTCGAACGTTGGAGCCGTTACAGACCTCTTCCAAGGGCTGTCACATGAAAACCCATTGTCCCGCGTGGCCACACTCCTACAACTACCAGTCCGACTAAAGGTGTCCATCGCCTTAGTCCACTCTCTCAAACCATTAGCCTCCGTCTCAGCGACCACCGACTCCTCATCGACCGCCACAGCCCAGCCGTCCAGGTCCGTGGAGTCCCTCGCCATTGCCCTAGACGGAGCTATGCTTAGCGGCGACTCCCACCCGCCTTGCCTGATGGTCGTATCCAGACTCACAAATCCGGACGCAGGAGTAGGAGGTACCGACTGATTACCCCAATCCACAGAATTCCCATCATCGAAAGACGACGCCCTGAAGTTCGCTTTATTCACTCCATTTTCGCCGCCCTCAAGTCCAAACCCCGATCGTCTGCTCTCCACTTCCCCGAAGCCCCCATACCGTGGTGCATGGCTGTAGGTAGCAGCGCCCATGGCTGGAGACTCATCCAGAAGGGACCTCGTAGCCGCTCTCGCCGGAGTACCATGGCGAGCCGAGTCAAACCCCCTACCCGGCATTCTCGAATTGTGCATGGGATCGCTAAGACCGTTGGAGCCCCGAAACGTCATCGCAGGCGAACCCGCCGTCATGAAGCTATCCCGACCAAAGCCCGAAGAGCTGTACTGCAACGTGGACATGCCAGGAGCACTCCTAACACTGGTCCTACTGTCCCTCAGATCGCTCATACCACTTGTCAATAGGGCACTGCTACTCGATAGCGGCTGTCGTCCAGTCGTCGACTCCCACGAGTCCGGCCGCAAACCAAACCCCATGGAACTCTCTACCGCCAAGGCAGGTGGTATGTCAACCTTCGTCGTGGAGGTAGTAATGCTATTACCCGTGGTCGAGCCCCCAAAGGTTTGCCACTGATGCTCCTCCGACTGAGAACTAGACTCACCTGAATACAGCACCGTTCATGGCCGTCAGTGCTACGACAATCGACCTACTAGAATCGCCCTTCGCACTACTGCCCAACTCTGCTGCTGATTTACTCGGAACTGTGTCTACTGTCATTACATCCAAACCGACATCACTGACCAGACCCTCCCAGCCTTAGGTCAACCCAACACCTCCTATTCACATGAGAAACGTTAATCCATGAGTGCACATGGCACCACAAGGACAACCGGTTAGAGAGGTCGTCCTTCGAAATTCACCCAGCGACGAATACGACTTTATAACACCGCCCCCCGACTCGTACATCAGCGATGTAGATAGAAATTAACTTCCCACTAAGCGGATCAGTTGGTGATGCATGACAGAGTTTTGTCGTCATCCTCGAAGATCGATGATCAGACAAGGTGGTTAAATGATTTTTCCTCATTTCCGCCCATACAGGGTCCCCACACAGTTAGACAGTTACTATCGTATTACAACGCAAATCAACAGAGTTCTTCGGTCTGGTGACGAACAAACATCTCCCAGTATAGGGCCATCAGTACGAGGCCTCAGTGACTGGTGCACCGAAGACTGCTGCTAATAACAACAACCCGTTATCTGCCTGCCTTTCACCCTGCCACGTCACAGCTTAACCGTAGATACGCTGAACGGGGCCCATAGTAGACTTGATGTGAAGAGTCTTCACGTTGTTCCAGTTCTTCTTAAGAAGGGAGACGAGGAAGTTGATGCTCATCAAAGAGTTCTGCTTGAGCTCATCAGCGGACATGCCGACGTTGCCAATGGCAACACCCATGCAAAGAACCTTCTTAAGCTGGAACTTGACGTTGGACTTCATATCGTGAATCTTCTTAGACATATCGTCGTTGTGGGTGATGAGGGTAGGGAACTTACCGGCCTTGTTAAGACCAGGTCCCAATAAACGGGGGATCTGGGGGATCAACACCTGGGAAGCAAGGAAGGCGTCATACTTGTTGGCGAGCTTCTTCACGAGCTTCTTGTTCTTGTTGAGTTTCTTGAGGTCATCGACGCTCATGAAGTCAACGCCAAGCTTGGAGGCCTCGTCACAATGGACGGCGTCACCCAAGACGCAGATCTTCATGTTAGGGCGGGGGACGTGGGGAAGCTTGACGGTACCAGAGAAACGCTTATCGCGCTGGGTATCGTAGTCCTTGAGTCCGACCTGACAAAAAAGATACAATAACAGCAATCACCATCTTCTCCGATGAAAATCGAGTGGAAAAGAGGACGTCAGTAAAGTTTTATCCAGCATAAGCTGACCCAATGGGAAGCATTGGAATTCAAGTTTCTAAAGGCATCATTCGTCGTCTACTCTTCCTTACTTAGCACAAGTGGTACCAACCCTAGAATTTCCTATTACCTGGAGCTCAACAGTCTCCAAGAAGTTCCTGGGCTTCTCCTGAGAAGCCTCCAGGATGGCGGCAATAGCAGTCTTCAGATTGTCGATAGAGAGCTTGCTCATGGTGTCGACAGGGTGATGTTGTCTTCACTCGTGAGAGGATTTCCTCCAACCGACACGACTGGAATAGCTATCGATTACATGGGCGAGCGAGACTTTCTTCAATGTCGAGTTTTGATTCTCGCCAGCCACAATCCAGGCCTTCTTTGTGACCTCTATTCTTACTGAGTTTCTCCATATCGTTAGCAGGACACCATAGACACAATATTGTTTTCAAACTTGTATCTTTTTTTCTCTCAGGAACCTATGACGGAGACTTGCAATTTTCACCAGTTTTTTTCGAAACGAGATTAGCAGTGTTATACACTACACTCAGTGATGCCAAGCAACGAATCATCTGAGTCCATCTTATCTGGTGAACTGGATCGAGATCTAAGCGGTCAGACTTCATCACTGGGACGCCGCAATATTCGCTTGAAATGAATTTCACCAGTTGACGCCCCGATCCTATCTAGTAATTGCTCGTTAGCGAGCCCATTACCAAATCTGATAAGGACAACGCGGTCGTGCTGTCAGGGGGGAGGCGGGGTCCGTCATCATCAGAGTCGTGGATTCCCCCTCTCGGGCGAGAGTTGTTGGTGTTCAACTGCGCCTCGCAGTATTCTTCGTGCCCTATGCCTTCAGCGTCTGCAGCTGAGACAGGCTCTATCCCATCTACCAACTCCTCGTGTGCGTCGTTAAGGCGGCAACTTGCCACTCGTGAGCGTCGTAATTCACTAGACAGTGACCTGATCGCGATCGAGAGGTGGGCCCCATCCATCTATCTGCCGTTGGTAACTACAGAGTCGTAGATACGCCCTTGACCACAACATTCACCTCGACTCATCTTCAGCATTCACATGTCGCGATCAAGTCCCGTTAAGATTTAGAGTAAAAACCTAGACCGTGATGCGGTGTTGAACTCCTTTGGAATAGACCATATTCACTGAGAGGAGCTCGACTCAGCCGGAAACACTCATTTCTGATGTGCTCATGGCCGCCATACGGATGGAGGACACTGAGGTCAGTCGAACGATGAAAACATCCACATAGCGAGAATTAGCATTACAGGTTTTCAACGGTCTTGAATTTCCCCGAGGGCCTCACCTACTCCAGCTGCGGAATCAGCTCCTCATGAAGTAGTCGAGATGGGCTGGAAAAGGCACCAGCCAGCTTGTTGTAGATACGATGAGATACGCCGTCGCTTCGTTGTCTGTATGCCTGGACAAGTGCCCGAGATCGACGCCAAACTCATTGTGGACATGTGGCACGCGTGGATCGAATTTGAGAAGGCCTGGTTGTATGCACTGTCTATGTGGGCCGGGACTCGATCGGTCCCGTTAGATCCCAACAAGAGACCTACGCTGTCGAGTCCTTCCAACCTCTTGTAAACTCGATCCTAGCAGTAGAGTCATTCACGAGATCCAGAGGTAGTAGACCGTCACTGTGTGAACTGCTTATCATTGGTTCACACGGTCAGAACGGGAAAGGCTGCTACCACTGCCGAGGAGCGACACACAGAGGCTCAACTCTGTCGTCTTGTTAGTGGTCAGTTCACCAGGTTTTCTTTCTCCCCCTCTTACGAACCCGTGTGGTTCGAGCATGGGTTTGAGCTAGCTCGGCCTGTCAGGGCGTTTGCCGCAGTCTACAGCCTTTGACGGCGGTGCTGATCTCAGCGGAGGAAAGGTGTCTATTTTTCGACCCTGTAGTACTCTTACTAGCAGAGTGAGCTTGGGAGGCCTGTCGATCTGTAATACCAGTGGTGTTAGGCTGGTGCAGAGCCGTTTGCATGGGACCATCAGCCCAGAAGATCACGAAGAAATCAGTGAGCGGAGCGAAGCAGGTTCGGTCATTTGTGAACTATGAATTGTCAGATGTAGCCGATAATTTAATTGAGGAATGCTTGGACATGGCGGTGACTGGCTCTGAGCGGCTGTCGTCCACCGGTTCCGTCTGGAGCCAGCCAAGACCGATTCGTCGTATGAAGTCGTTGAACTCGTCGACTCAAATCGGACCGAAGGACTCAGTAGTGATAACCCCACCTTCGAATGCGACCAGAAATCTTTTCCCTAGAGAATTATCTCGTGCTTGGCGGGACTATCGCAGACGGACTTTACACGGCTTCGTTCCGATGGAGTAGACCCGTTAGGCTGTTGCCAGAAGGAAGGTGCCCTTGAGGTAACTCGAACGCCTCGATGCTGTCAACTGACGAGGGTATATCAGGAATACGCGATGAAAGCAATCGGGCAAGCCGCGAGGCGATGGCCCCGCGAGAAGCAAGCGAAGCATAAGCGTTCGGTCACCGAGGTAGCCGCAGCGTTGCGGGACTTGATGTTCCTCAACTGGAAATATCAGGTCCATCGAGTCGACAAGCTCACGGCCTCCCTACTACGATGCTTTGATCAGCTCATCAACGCGCTGATGGATATGAAAGGCACGCTTGAATTCATACCTGTAGATCTCGCAATGTAACGAAATGAAAATTCTTCTATCTGGATAGTAGTCTTACTTGTCTTAATGTAGGCATCCCCGACTACCAACAGCTGTAATCGCTTTCAACGCGGCCTATAGGCGAGCCGCTCGGCTTTACATGGAGCCGGATAGTTTGCTCTGATGTTGTTCATGTGTTGTTATCAGCAAGGGCAGATGTCTCGTTGAGTATTTTCAATCTCTAGTCTGGAGTGACCAGAGCGTGTGGTGAATGCCCAAGATCGTGGACCTGCTGGGCTCAAGCTCGGTGGAGAGCGCGACGGTGACACCAAGAGAGACCGAGGTCAGGACAGTACCCGAAAGGCTTGCCTGGCAGACAGAAAAAGACTTTTGGGGGAGTCCGAGTAGCGGTGGGAATGCGAGTGAGCACACTGAAGGTGATGATGATTCGGAAATGAGCGGATATTGATTAGCCGATAGCAGTGCATTTAGTGGTCCTCTCTTAGGTGGTAGCGTCGACTCTGTAGTGGAGAATAGACGCACATCATCGGGCGAAAGTGAGCCAAGATACCTCGACGTGTTGTATACTGCCGATACTATAGGCGGAAGTAACAGTGGTAACCGCGGACGTCATCTCCTGTCCTTTGCTATCTCGAATGACAGTAGCGTGCCGGTAGTTGAGCCCGCTGAGAATCTCCCCGTAGTTGAAGCTCTGAAGGTGCATTATCTCACTCGGTGCTATTACATATACTCTTTCTTAGACGGTACACCCACAGAGGGTCCGAGCCATCTCGGTGGGTGCGGGAGGAAATTCTCCTGTGGAGAAGACTGCGTTTGGACGGGCGCGAAGAGCGAGTGAGGGTACGTACGATGTGGGGGCGGGGCAGAGGTCCTTGAGGTGGTGTTTGCATGATGACTACGCGGAGGAGGAGGAAAAACAGTATGGAGATGTGGGAGAAAGGGAGCCTATAGAGAGCATCGAGACAGCGGTGAGGAGAGCAGTAGCATCCGTAGAGGAAATACCGTTACTATCTACTACAGTAGAGGTGGTGCCTCTGGGCGGTGTACTGGCAAGTACTGCAGAAAAGCTGAGCTCAAGCTCTGTGGGTCTGACAACTGTTTACCATGTGGAAGAGTCCGATGGAATGACTGGTTGTAGCAACAGCAGAGTTATGTCACCAGATCCAGTGGCTGAGGAAGGCTCGAGCATTAGCGATACTAGTGCACCTCGGAGGATATTGATACTCCTACGGATAGAACAGATCCTGATGGGTCTCCAGATGCTGAGGGCAGCTGTCATGAGAAGGAGAGTGAGAACGATGTTCTGGAATCGATGAAGTTTGGTGGCGTTGCCGAGTCCAGTTGTTGTGTGGAGGAAGACACTACTCGGGCTGCATGCTCGGCTGGACGCGAGGAGGCTTTTCAGTCGAGGTCCGATGAGAGTCTGTTGGTATTTGGTAGTACCGATCGGCCAATGCGGTCTGTCACTAGTGACACGTCTGTCGGTGATGATGATGACGATTCGGTAGACTGGGAGAGTCTAAGTGAAGGGGATGAAGCTGATGTGGCCAAGTCTCGAGCTAAGGTAAGGATTCTCCGGGCAATCCAAGTCCTGGTGGTAGTATTAGCGTTGCAAGTGATACCACCGCTGCTACTCTATATCGACCCGCCCGACTTATCGCACCAGTAGGGCTTCTGTCTATCTGCCGGTTTGACATAATTCACTATCATCATCAACGTCGTTTGTTGGTGTACACATATAGAGTCATTACATGCTTCTGCAGGCTTCGTCCTAAGTGTTGTGTTAGCGGCCGCGTTCAGCTATTGTCACAGCGTTAAGGCGTCAATAGTTTTATTAGTAGAAACGATCAGACCATCGCCGAATTCGCTGGTAGTGTTAGTGACTATTGCGTTCCTCTTGCTCAGTTCTTGTTGTTCGCCATACTCCATGCCTAGCTTCTACGTTACTGGGTAGTATTAGTGAGCCGTCAGTAACGACAGTTGTTGTCGTCAACTACGTAGGTGCGATAGCGGTTTCGGCAGAGACATTGTGGCTCGTCTGTACGGCAAAGGTCACCAAGTCTTCGCTGGGTGTTTGTTGAGAGAATCTCTCGAGGACCTCGAGCAGGATTTCCCCCGTGGTGCTAAGCGTTTTGAAAAGTGTGGGAGAATATGCACATGGTCAACTACATGTGTTGGTGACAAAATAATACTCGTTGATTTCTGTACACTTCTAACACAGTTCGTATATGAAGTCTTACTACTAGTGAGCAAACTCCTGAGCTCAGCTGAGGAGAGCAAACGTATATTGCAACAGTGGTTTCGACCTCATGGAGACGCTCCCCTTCAGGTAAGGGCAATGTAGTGCCAATCATGCTTGATGTTACCGATGAGGAAAGTGTTCTAAAAGCCGCTGAGAAGATCATGGGGCTGACTGACCGTTTAGATGGATTGGTTAACAATGCTGGTATCCTCATCGATGCGGGATCTGCAGAATGGGTGAGCTCTGAACTTGTATTTATTTCAAGTTTATTGCCTCTATAACGATATAGAAAACCTCACTATTTTGTATTGATGGGGTAATGGTGAATGTTTTCAAGGACGTTTCTCAGAGTTCGACACCGCTATTTCGCAAGATGCTCGAGGTTAACGTCATTGGCACGTCGAGTGTGACGAAATCAGTTGCCAGTCTCATCAGAGCCGCCCAGGGCCGCATTGTCAACGTGGCGAGCCTCGCTGGAGGCTTTGGTTTCCCATGCGGTAAGTGAGCGAACTCTACCACCCTTATGCCTAGCTGTTGTTCAGTTGGTACCTATGTCGCTACTAAGTTTGCGGTTGAGGGCTACAGTGACTCCATCAGGCAAGACTTTCACCCGTGGGGAGTCACAGTCCACGTCATTGAACCGGGGTGGGCTCATTGTCAGATGAGCATATTCCGAGTATCATATGGCCGACCTCAGGATTTTCCCCATGACCGGACTGTATTCTGCCGGGGCTACATTCAAGGACGCTGTCACTAAGAGATTCGAGGAGTTGCCTCAAGACATTCAGAAGCGTATGGTAAGTGTTGTTGATTTCGACTGGGTCTACTCGGGTGCAGAGAAGTGAATATATAATAGTAAATATGAAGAGGTCTGTTTGGAGAGAGCACCTCGTGATGTATTTTCAGCGA